AAAAAAAAAACAAACAGGAATGATTGGGACAATGAGAAAGTGAGGGTTATAGATAAACTTTGGGAAGCCTTGATCTAATCCTTCCCTGCTGCCTTCAGACAGCACAAGGCATGAGTCAGATGAACAGGTGTCTGAGCTGATGGACCTCTGAGAGGGCAGATTCCACAGCTCCTATTTGAGAACTTCTCCATCACTGTCGTAAACTGGCTGTGTGGTGCTCACCCTCACCCTGGCTGCTAGCATTGGCCTACCTTTTCTTCAGTTCTCACGGGAAATGGAGGCTATATGGCCACCACTCTTGGTATGAGAGACCCGTGAGGCACGTCACTGTCGTTTTTAGTAATATGTTTGTCTTTCTCCCCATGCTCTTACATTAAAGTCCTCAGGATAATTAGTCAGACTCTCCTGTTTACACTAGGGGGCCCTCTTCGGTAGCTCATGTCCCACAGCTGTGGTTTTTCTCTTTAGAATCAAGAGTGAGTAGAAGTTTGAAGGAAGAGTGCCAGAGTGTTTCCTTGCTTATTTTAAACCAGTAAACCTTTTTCTTGGTAAAATTTAAATTTGGAAAGACTGCTGTGTTGAGATAATAGGAAACATCCTGGATCCTCAAAATCACAATTTGCAGTTTGTCGATCCTTGCCATTGCTTCAGGAACTCAGCAGTCTTCCTCTCAACTTTATAGTGAGCCCTTATTACAGCTTTCCTTGCTTTTTCCAGTGACTGAAAATTAGATTTTATCTTTTTTTTTCTTTTGGTGAGTGGGAGTAAGGCGGTATTTTTAAAAGTTGTTATGGACAGATTAGACTTAATAAAATGGAGAGCTTTGAAGACAGTGAACAGGTATCCAGAATATTTGCATTGAAAACAAATCCAAAGGAGTTCCTGGAACTGTCTATAACCTTTTCCCCATAACCAGAGTTGGGCATGTCTTGGCTGATAATGGTGATGCCAAACAACAGCGGCTAATGTTTCAGTGTGTTTGTTATGTGTCAGTCATTGTACTTAGACTGTATACACATTCACTTTAATTCTCCTACATCCCTGTGAGCTAAGTACTGTTTTCCCCATTTAATGGATGTGGAAGCTGAGCCTCAGAGAGATTTAGTAACTTATACAGGATCACTTAGCCAGGAAGTGGTAGAGCCATAGTTTGCACCTAGGCAGCTTGGCGCCAAATCGTTTGCTTTTTTACAAGTATTGGGTTGGCCAAAAAGTTCGTTTGTGTTTTTCTGTAAGATGTTACAGGTTTTTCTGTAACATCTTACAGAAAAACCTGAACAAATTTTTTGGCCACCCAGTCCATCTAACTCAAGGCACTTTTTGCAAAACATTCTAGTAAGTATCTCATGCTTACTTGGGTGCTTAATGTTTGTTTTCTAGATACCTACTAAACATTTTTCTTCTTTGTAAAATAGTAGTTTATAGCATCAGCATCTGCAAACCTTGTGTCTTACCCCATCCAAACCCATCTACCAAAATAGTCTTTCTAAAATCAGAAGACTACCTTGCCACTGCTCCCGTTTGACACCTTTTGGGATTCCTCTTCCCTTACAGGAAAGACAGATTTCTTTACATCACCTACAAGACTCTCTCTGCCCAGAGGTCAGCCAGCTGTCTCTGCCCAGAGGCTAGCCAGCCTCACTCACCTGCATCAGCTCCTCCCCTCCAGGCTGAGATTTCTCCTCCAGTTCCACCCAGTAATCATCTTTCTATGCCATGGCTCCTTGCTCTTGACAGAGCTGTTTCCTCTTCCTGTAAAACCCTTTCATACTGTCTTAATCTGTTCTGACTGTTATAGCAAAGTACCACAGACAGGATGGCTTATGAACAGCGGAAATTTATCGCTCACAGTTCTGGAGATCTAGAGTCTGAGGTCACAGTGCCAGCATGGTCAGGTGAGGGCTCTCTTCTGGCTCACAGACTCCTCACTGTACCCTCCTCACAGGGTGGAAGGGGCTAGAGATCAGTATGGGGCTTCTTTTATAAGGGCACAGATCCCAGTCATGAGGGGTCCACCCTCATGACTTAATCACCTCCTGATACCATCATCTTTAGGATTTCAGCATTTGAATTTTGGGGCAACTCAAACATTCAGACCATAGCACCCATTCTTCTGCCACTGGCAGATTCATTCTTTTCAGTTCTGACTCTGTAATATTCATCAGAGTCCACCTACTTGAAATTTTTTAAAATGTACATGTCCTGAAATTCTAATTCCTTGGTTCTTGCAAAGAGGCCTGAATACCAGTATGCCAGAACTACCTACTGATTCTGATAAAACAGCCAGATCAACAAGCCTCCGAAATGTTGTTGCTCCGGGGTCGGGTCCCCTCCTTCGGAGGACCTGGTTGGCGAGGAGTGCGTGCGCGCGCTGTGGCCTGTGCTGTCGCCCGTGCTGTCGCCCTGGCCACCTTGCGTGCAGCTTCCCTTGGAGACGAGCAGCTCTCGAGGGCAGCCACGGGATGCTGGTCATCTCAGGATCTTCAGCTGGCAGTGCGGGGCCTGGCCTAGCATCAGCCTCCACAACTGTTGCTCCGAACAACCATATTTCGGTAGCCTTTTGCCTTGCGAGCCCCTCCTGATCTCACTCATTGGCAAACAGCGTGATTTATTCTGAAGTACAGTTCAGCAAAGGCCAGGGATGGAGGTTGTCATTTAAAGAACTGCCTTTCTTCAGACTTTCGTGTTTGAGTAAAGAGCAAGACCTTACCTCTTTTCATCTCTTCTTCTAAATATAAACTGACTCTAAAAGTGTGGATGATTTGTATCTTCCTTCTCCCTACCCCTGACTCTTGGTTCCGGCTTTACGTTTTGGCAAGAACTGAAAGATCTCACTTTCTGCTGGCCACTGGTTGGTGCTTTAAGACCCATCAGGGCATATCTTAAATAAAACTGGTAGTGTTTCTAACTGGTAGCACTTCTGTTTCCATCCTCATTGCTGTCCTCCTCCCCCATCGGACAGCATCACTGCGCAGCACTGAATGAGGACCCCTGACGCTGGAAGGCAGCCGCTAGGACCCAATAACCGGTGACGTGTTATGGTTTGCTCATATGTGTGTACATCAGGCTTGTTGATTCTAAGGCATGAAATCTGCATACACACAGCCCATATTAGAGTTTTCTCCTCTCACCAAAAGCATATACTGAGAACCCAGCTTGCTGAGCATAGCTATATTCTCAAAATAAGCCTCCTGTTCTCTAATAGCCTCTATTGTGTGAACCTCCCCCACTATAAATCCAAACTAAAAAAGATGTCTCCTTTCCAGCTCAGGTTTTAGACTAGTGGGCATACAACCCTATTGGTTGTGTTTTGTTTTAGGCTGCGCCATGCAACTTGTGGTTTCTTCGTTCCCTGACCAGGGATCAAACTCAGGGCCACCACAGTGAACGTGCCAAGTCTTAACTACTGACCACCAGGGAATTCCCTGATCCTGTCTTCTTTGAATGTTATATTGCTCGGCCTTTTTAATTTTGAACTTCACTGTGGATATTAATTTTAATGAAACACTGCGTTGAAGAAAAGGTAGAGTTAGGGGGAGATCGGAGGAAAGGAGCAGAGACAGGCAAAGAATAATAATAGTCTGTAACTCAACAGCAAGCATGGCTTATGAAGATCAAGTTGTGTTTCTGCTTCATGAATCATTGTCAGACAAATTAAGAACATATTGTTTCTTATTTATCTGTTGTCAAGGATGCAATCTCAGGCATTGAGAATAAATCTTGATTTTCATAAGCTCAGTTGACACTGTGGAGCCACAGAGCATAAAACTTGCATCTAATAAGCAAAGTGCCATGTGGAACGGCAGGGGGTATAATACCAGCATCACTTGCAGCTGCTTCCTGCACCTTGGCCCTGGCATCAGGGATTCCATAGCAGGAATTATACTAGACCAAGGGTTTGTTTTATCTTTGTAAGGAAAAACTTCAAGTTTTGGGTCCATTATTTCCCCAGATCTTACAGATCGGGGATGATAACTTTCAGCCTTTGTTTGATGAGTTCTCATCTCTGTGTCTATCCACTTTCCCTGGCCTCCCTCCCCACCTTCCCCTAGTGAGTGATCAGTGACTGTTAAATTCCTATGGCATGCTTGTTTTATGGGCACCTCTACTATGGACTGGTTGTACAGTTTTCACGCACTGTTTAATGCTACTGCTTAGATAGTCCATAGAGAATTCCTAGTTGACTGAAATCCGTAGTAGAAATTTTTGTTTGGCATTCCTGAAGTTGAAATATGAAAATTATATATTAATTTGATTAAAAATAAAGGATCTCAGCTTGAAAAACTGTGAGTCAGGATATATAGTATAAATCTTTAAAAGAACAAAAGTAACAATGTAAATTAATAATTTAAATCTTTTAATTAATACCAAAGCATCACTTCCACAAATCCTGTATTATCAAAATTAGCATCAGTGCCGTACAACATGAAGTTTATTTTTTATTTTTAAAGAGTGCTCCTTTAAAACTAGTGCGCAATGACAGAAAGCAGGTCAAGTTTGCCTGGTGGTAGATGGATTGAATTGATTGATCACCAATGGTCCAGGGCACTTGTTTGGGTGATGGAAAAGTAGAAGCTTGTCAGAACTCATTTAATTTTACTTAAAATGGGTACATTTTGTTGGATGAAAATTATGCTTCAATAAGTTGATTTTTACTAGTTTTAATGTTCCTTCGCTTAGTAACATTTAACTTAATGGAATCTTTGACCTTTACTATAGTACAGCCTCTCCCTCAAGACTGCTCACTGCTACTAAACAACTAAATGAACTATTTAAAGGTCAGTTAGGTAAAATTCAGGAGCAGAGGAAGTTATTAAGAAGCTGGAAGCATGTCGAGTTTGTCACTGCCGCCTGAGGGTGGTGGTTGAAAACATAAGCCATTGCTTGCCTAGATGTCCCTGTCAGTGAGATGGTCTAGGCTGATTGGACCCAACACCGGAACCAAGAGAGAGACCAGAAGTGAAATGGTTTCTAAATGTATCTCAATTCTGTTCGGCCAGCTGTTGCGAAGCTCTTTGGTGAATAACAGAACTCAGGCCAAGGTGGCGGAGGAACTGGGCATGCAGGAATACGCCATCACCAACGACAAGACCAAAAGACCTGTTGCCCTGAGAACCAAGACCTTGGCTGACCTTTTAGAATGTGAGTCCTACAGAGGAACCTTTTCTCTTAACCTGCAGATTTAAAGTTTGCCACTTCTCATTGTTATGATATTCTGACTAAAGAAACCTCTTTTCTATTTTAATTTTTATTTATGCTTCTCTCCAAAGCTTGTTTGAAAGAGAATAATTTGGAATTAAAACATGTGAATAATGGATTTATGTTCAATCTGTGTTCACTGGTGCCCCCGCCCCCACACCCCTCCATCCTAAAGCTTAGCCATCAGATCTCTTTGTGTGAAACAGTAGCAGAATGTGAAGACCAGTAATAGTGAATCATAGCTGTTTTTTTGCCACCAGCAACCTTTAGATATGGGCATAGAGGAAAGAAGGTAATTTATTCACTGAATACTAGAATTATTATCTATTGTTGTGAATGAACTCAAAGCTCTATGGACAACGTTGTCATCTTTTATAGTTTCTGATATGGTCTAGTAGCATTATAAGTAATCCTGTTAAGCTAATTAAAGGATTATAAGCACAATTTTATTGTTTCTGATACTACTTTAAAGTAAGTGGGCCATTCACTGGGCCTTGGAACCTTTTTATTAAGTTTAATATTATGGTATTTTTTGACACCTGCAATTGTACACAAATATTAAAGTCTCCCATGCAAATCAGCTGATTTACAAAGTGTAACATCAGTCTAAGGAACTTAAAAGAATCTCTTTTTCAATTAAAGAAAAGTAACTTAACATTAAAAGTACAAAAAAATCAAGTTGAGTGATCAGTCTCAGTGGCCTTTGTTTTTGATCAAAAGAAGCTATTTTTCACTCCTTTAAAAAACTCACCATTTGTTTACATGGTTAAGATGACGTTTATAATGAAGTTGTCTTTGAGGTCACCGTTTATTAATGCAAATTTGGTTATATTGTCATAAAGCCCAGTATTTGTTTTTCCTCTGTTTTGGCAGATTGAATCCATAGATGGTCCCGTTTCTGTTCATGAAATGTGACACAGACCGTGTCAATGGGTGATCTCAAAATTGGTGTTAAGAATAGCAGGCCTTCAGATGTGCTTGTTCTGGCCTTGTATCTCATCTTCAAGTTTTATTTTGATTTATTTGATGTTAACATGGTTGCATTCCCTGATGTCATTCTTTTCCTGCTATATACAGCAGCATTTTGTGTATCGTTTTAACTAATTGTTTATTTAGCCCTCAGACAAACGTCATTTGGTCTTTGTGGTTTTTGCATCTTAATCACACATCTCTATTGCTGTTTCTAATATTAGTGATAAAGAGTAGTTCTTGTTTGAAGCAAGATGAAATGGTAATGCTAAAAAATAAAGAGGGCTTGGAAGTTGAAAACCTTACTAAAATGTTTCTTAAAAGGCTTGGTCTCATACTCTTTCTAGTAAATGGCAGTGCATCGGGCTTATGTTACCCTTTCTCTTTTTCAGCATTTATTGCAGCATTGTACATTGATAAAGACTTGGAATACGTTCATACTTTCATGAATGTTTGTTTCTTTCCACGATTAAAAGTAAGCTCATATAAAATTTAAATTAGTTGTTTGCTCTAAGCTTGGTGATTCTGGAATCCTTTACTAAGCACTGTTTGGGGGACTTGCTACAGGAATTCATTTTGAATCAGGATTGGAATGACCCCAAGTCCCAGCTTCAGCAGTGCTGCCTGACTCTTAGGACGGAAGGAAAAGAACCAGACATTCCGCTGTACAAGTGAGTATGTGCTGCCCGCAGGCTGTCGGTCGCGGGAAGCCTAGAATAACCCTCCATGTGCCAGGAGGAAGAGCTAACTGCTCTGCGGCAGTGGTGATGAGAGCCCTGGCGGGAGACTTCTTGACTCTGACTGGGCCCAGCACCGAAACTCTCTGGGCCGCTCAGTCTCTTTGCTCTAAGTAAGTGGGTCACATCTGATTATCTGTGCTTTCTCCATCTCTAAAATATGGTGAACTGCTCCCTGGGAGAAAGATGAGGAGATCAAGATAAGAGAAATTTGGGTTAAAATGTTTTTATATACATTCTTGCGTTTGTCTTCTTATTTCTTATAACCCCTGCTGCCTGCACACCTAGACTGGGCGGCCTGTGCTTGTTTATTTGTAACTGTACTTGGGTGTCTGTCTTTCTGAAGCCCGCTGGCATCTGTCCCGATCGCCTGACAGGCAGTCACTGTAGGAAGCCAGGCAGTTCTTCACCGCGGCTGTGTTATTCAAATATTTGGAACTTTTCTTTCTAGGATGTGTACCAAAAGCTGCTGTGTACATTTGAATATCTTTAGTGACACATCTTTATCCTTTGAGGAGTAGCCAAAAGTCATTCAAAGGAAACGCAGGTTGCTACCCACATAACACCGGTTTTGATGAAAACGGGAGGTTTGACTCTGAAGTTGAGTAATTAGCTTGAGACACTCAGAAGGTGGTTTCAGAAGCTGGTTTCAAAGAGGAATTATAAAAGGGAGGGATTATCAAAATAAGTGGGTTGCCTCCCAAGGTATGGTCTGGATGTGTGCTTTTGAGGATGTGTAAATATCTAGCTTTAGTACTGGGTTACCCCCGTCTCTGTTCACACATGCGTACAAGTATACACATTTGTGTGTTTCATATGAAATAAAAGCCTCACCCTCCCCCCCCACCTCCTCCTGTGGACTTTCTCAGACTTCACAGTACTCAAGGGAAAACACCAGAGTGGCAGCCGGGAATTTTAAATCCTTTTTTATGTTTTTATTTAATAGTCACAACACGTTATAGGCTTTTTCACTAAAAGAAAAACTGAGGCCAAGAAAAGGTTGAGTCACCCCACAGCAGGCTGCTATAAATTGTCCCAAGAAGCTGTCACCGCTGAACAATGTTTCCTTTATTTATTGGGAAAAAAACCCAAATGTTTAGAAATAGCACTTTAATATGTATCTAATAAGCATAATGAACATCCAGACTGTGTTACGTGAAAGGCTCAAAGTATCTCCTCATCAAAGTGATAATTAAAGTTCAGTAAATAAAATGAGGGTGATAAACTTCTCATAGCGCAGGCATGATTACTATAATAAGCGCTACCTTAAGAAGCCATCCATGTACTTTCATCCCAGTGAGTACAGACAAAGGAAATGACTGCCCCCTTCTCATAAATCCCCCCATGAAAGCGTGCAATGAGCTTGTTCTTTTTTATCAAGATGATGGGGTTGTTTTATGTAGTTTTTTTTTCAGGATTACTGTTTTCATCACATTATCTTTGCTGGCTACTTTTAATTTCCCTTTTCCGTGAAGTTATCAGTTTTACCACACTTGAAATCTGCACCCTGTCATTAATATCCAGAGAACCCGGTGTTTTGTTTTTTGGCAGTTGTGTTGTGTACTCCGATTATAACATACCTTTGAAATGATCTCTGATTTTTCATTAGAAAGAATCCATAAAGGATGTGATGCTATTCAGATGGGGCTTGCAGTGTATTACCCAAATATTTGTGACTTTTAGCTCTGATTAGCACTGAAATACAATGAACAGAGTGAAATGGCTAACTTTAATTTTATAATATTTGGAATAACACTTTGAAATTGTTTAAAAATATTTTATACTTACTTTTTGCCTTCAGATACTGCTCATAATGGTTTGAGGATACACACACACACACACACACACACACACACTAATCCCTGAGAAAGGCAATCCCAAAGAATGCTCAAACTCCTGCACAATTGCACTCATCTCACACGCTAGTAAAGTAATACTCAAAATTCTCCAAGCCAGGCTTCAGCAATACGTGAACTGTGAACTTCCAGATGTTCAAGCTGGTTTTAGAAAAGGCAGAGGAACCAAAGATCAAATTGCCAACATCCGCTGGATCATCAAAAAAGCAAGAGAGTTTCAGAAAAACATATATTTCTGCTTTGTTGACTACACCAAAGCCTTCAACTGTGTGGATCACAATAAACTGTGGAAAATTCTGAAANAAGGAGATCCAACCAGTCCATCCTAAAGGAGATCAGTCCTGGGTGTTCATTGGAAGGACTGATGCTGAAGCTGAAACTCCAGTACTTGTGCCACCTCATGTGAAGAGTTGACTCACTGGAAAAGACCCTGATGCTGGGAGGGATTGGGGGCAGGAGGAGAAAGGGACGACAGAGGATGAGATGGTTGGATGGCATCACCGACCTGATGGACATGAGTTTGAGTAAACTCCGGGAGTTGGTGATGGACAGGGGGGCCTGGTGTGCTGTGATTCATGGGGTCGCAAGGAGTCAGACAGGACTGAGCGACTGAACTGAACAGAACTGAACACACACACACAAAATTTCACTATAGGATTTGAAAAATTTCCTACTTCAAAGCTGTCTGCATTTGTCATATTAGCAAATCAAACTGTACTCTTAATTTTCTTGTTATTTTTGCCTTCCTCTCTCTCAGCAGTAAGTCACATGGTTTTTTGTGGAGTTATGTGTGAGCAGTAACTGTTAAGTAGCACTTTACATAATTACTGCTCTTTCCTTTTCCTTTCAGGACTCTGCAGACAGTGGGGCCATCCCATGCTAGGACCTATACTGTGGCTGTCTACTTCAAGGGAGAAAGAATTGGCTGTGGGAAAGGACCGAGGTATGAGAGGATACTTTAAGTTTCTTCAAATGAACATCCTGTGTGCCCGAGAAGTATTAATATCTGCTTGGTATTTCCAAACTCTGCAGCCTGTCCTTTTGAACTTAGAGTATAGAGTGTTCAAGGGTAGTAGCAAAGTCAATCTCAAGGCTTAATATCCCCACCAAACTCAGCCCCAGACTTGAGAATCAGCCTTGAGCAGTGGGAATGCCATTGCATAAAGGGCTTTGGCTGCCTAGAGAGAACCACATTAGCAGGTGCACACACGGGTAAGGTCTGTTCACTGCTGCAAGCATTTTATGAAACATGCCGTGCGTGACACAGCCGTTAGACACTTGATCTCTTATTACTATTCACTTGAGCTTTGTGGAAATGCTCACATCTTCAGGTAAAAAGAATTTCATATGTTATCACCTTTCTTTGAACCTTCCAATTTATATCTTAAACTGAGAAGTGATTTGAAGTCTGTCTGTATGTGTATTTTTTTACTCTTTGCCTCTTAAACTTTACACTGAGGATGTTCAAATTTAAGTAAGAAATACTTCAGACCTAATATAAGTGGAAGGCATTTTATTGCAGTGTTGAAAGTGTGGAAAGAATAACTTAAACAGGCTTTGTACAGATAAATGACATTTCTGCATGCCCTTGTGTATATTCCTATCTGTGCAATTCGGTATGTGACAGTAGAAGTAATCAGATAAAATTGTATGCACCAAACATGAAAACTAGCCTGAATAAATTGGAGCCATATTTTGTGTTTTGGAGGAAAAAAATCTTTAAAATGTACCTTGTCTTCATTTTCTTTAATAGTATTCAGCAAGCAGAAATGGGAGCAGCAATGGATGCACTTGAAAAATGTAAGCCTATCTCTTTTTCTATAATTATATGTTCATAATGTAATGAGTGTTTTATGGATAGAAAATGGGAAAGTAGAAAAATGGTAAGTACTGATAAAATGTGATCTTCTTTTCTTCATAATTATTCTCCACACAGAGTGTAGTATAATGTAAGATATGTATAAAATAGGCTTATAATTTAAAAAAAAGTATTCCCAAATGCTTTTTGATTTTCATTTTCCTATTTTGCATAGAGTCCCACTCTCAGCACAGGTAACCCATGTGAGTGACTTAGTATATTTCATTCTATATGTTTCTCTGTAGTTCTAAAATCTTAAACCCGTGAAGGTTTTTTCTTTTTGGCGTTTGGCCGCTGTTTAATTAAAGTGGGACATTTGCATATGTCTCTGCATCCATCTTTTCTTGCTAGATAATACATCATGGGCAGCCCTCCACGTCATAGTGGCTCCAATTCATTCTGTCTTAAGGGCTGCATCATATTTCATGCTGTGGATATGCCGTATTTTATTCAGCTTTTAATATTTTTGGTGGGTCCTGTTTCTATCTTTTTATCACTGTTGATACTAAAAGTCTCTATATTGGTGCTTTTAGTTCTGGGGGATGGATTCCCAAGGGTAGGATAGCTGGGTTGAAGACACTTAAATTACATAATTGACCCTGTAGGGAACTGCAGAGTCTTCTGTAAATTGAAGGCTTAAGCACAAGGAAGTTTTCTTCTGAGGTATATCGTGTTGCCCAGCAGAACCTGTGGGCAGAACCTGACTGTGCAATTCCATCAGGCTTCAGCTGCTAGCTCAGCGTGGGCGAGAGCAAAGTGTGGAAAGCTGAAAGTGCACAGGCCCTGGATGCTCAGCTTGGGAGAAATTCCAAGAAAGGCAGGAGGGCCAAGTAGCCATGCAGAAATCTGCAGATGAGAGCTTGGGGGCCAAGGGGAGGGGAGTCCTGGGGATAGAAGCTGGTGTTCCCAGGCTCCCAAGTTCATGGAATCTTCACTGAGAGTTTTGTTGACTCTGTTGAGGAGCTTTGAAAATCCATTATATATATGGACTTTATTATTTATTTTATTACAGTCACATATTATAATAAAAATGAGACTCCATTTTCCCACCTGTAAGATTGATAAAGGTGATCTTTGGAGTTTTCATTTGTTTGCTTTCAGCCATAAAACAGTACTTGGAGAGATGGCTGATTATAAGACTGGCCTACACGTCTGAACTGGTGGGAGAGAAAAGTTTAAAGTGCAGGAAAGCAATTTGACGGTATACGTCAGGGCCTGAATGACGTCTATACCCTTTGATCTAGAGATTTCCTTTCTAGAAGTCAAACCTAAGAAAACAATTCGCATTATGAGTGAAAGTTTCCATAACCATCATGATTGTGACAAGTTGATTTATAATAGTTAAAAAGAATCAATCAGTCCTTCAAACTGTGTGTTTGAACACAGAGAAATGTTTAGATAAATTATCCCAGAGGTTGACGAACATTTTCTGTAAAGGACCAGATAGTAAGTACTCATTGCAATTACACGGCTCTGATATTGTGGCCCATAGACTCAGGCAGAATACAGATGGCTAGTGTCTGTGTTCCAGTAAAACCATATTTACCAAAACAGGTGAAGGATTAGATTTGTCCTATAGACAGTAGTCTGCCAACCTTAGCTTTGTCCAAATGTTGTAATATCAAAATACCTTTGAAGAGTAATGATATGGGAAAATGCCTATACTACTAGAATAAGTGAAAAAAGTGTATCCGTCAAAGTGTACTTACAGCTGTACTCTCCCAGTGTAGGTTGGGCTCAGGGAATGATTTTAAGTGTTTGTGTGTCTAATTCATATATGTACACATGTACATTGTGTATATGTGTGTCAGATATAAACTTACTTCATAGGAAAAGGGCTTATTATAAGGTTATATTCTAAAAGCTTATCTATGGTTATATCTGAGTTGTGGGATTATGCTCTTAATATTTGAAACCTGTGTTTCATACAGTACATAAGGAATCAATTTAATATACTTAGAGAATAGGATCTTACTACTATTTTATTTCTAAAATTCAGATGCCATTATGTTTCTCTTTTGCTTAAAATCAATCACTGACTCTTAAGTCCTTACTCACCTTCCATATTCTTTTCCCACCACCCGGTCGCTCCCTGTCTTCCACCCACCGGGAGCGAAGATGGGACACAGTGTTGAAAGGAAGGAGGGTTTGGGAATATACTGTATATGTTTATTATGCTTCAACTGTAACAAAATCAGGCACTCTCTCAAATATGCCATGCTCTCTGATTCTCCCCATTTTACTTTTCTTAAAAATTTGTCTGTTTTTAATTAGAGGACAGTTGCTTTACAATACTGTGTTGGTTTCTGCCATACTCAACATGAGTCAGCCTTAGGAATACATATGTCCCCTCCTTATTTTTAAGTATGAAGTAGTATCTCTTGTGTTTAACAGACCCGTACCCAGTTACCAGTTAGCTCGTGTCACTCTCATTTGTTCATGCATCCCTTTGTGATGGGTGTTGTTGAAGTGTGTGTGTGTCGAATAAGTGTATAAGATGCCTCTTTTGTGTTCCATATTTGGTTTCTTACTCCATTGCTACACTCATTACGTACCACAAATAACAACTGAATTGTAAAATTTTTACATCTTAATCAAGATTTCCACCCTGTCAACACCCTTGAACGGGATCAAATATCAAACTAAATATAGCTTCAACTGTGCTACTGCGTGACATATTTCCTTTCACCAAATGAACATGCTGTACTTGGGTTGCTATTGCTCATAAGCTCTGGGTCTCTTGAGTAAACTTCACAAATTGAATTATCAGAAATGGTGACTTAAGATGTGGCCTCCTCCTCTTGTCCATGTGATCTTTTCCCTCTTTTCAGAAACTTTAATTGTTGGTAAATAATGATGGGATAATATTATTATTTGTTTGAAGTTTTGGGTTTAAGCTTTGTAAAAATATACAGCTCCCTTTTGCTATAGCCTTTCATCTCTCCCTGAAAATCACTTGTTGCTAGGAGAGCTGTGTTAAAATACCTAGCTGGAAACATGCCGAAGCCACACGCTATGTTTAAACAACTGTGTATTCCGGTGCCTTTTATGCTTGAGTTCATGTCAGATATTGAAATCCAGAACCAGGTGCCGATTTAGACTTCCATTGTGTTTCCTGAATGATAAAAGAAAAAGAGAAGAAAATGAGCAATTTTTTTTCTCTTGCCTTACAAAATGCAACTCTGTATTCCTGTGAAATACATGTTTGTGTGTGTGTGTTGCGTTTAGTTTGCATCATTCTGTGCACTGGTGGCTCTCCTTTATTAAGTGTAAAATATATCTCCTTGTGTCAGATAACTTTCCCCAGATGGCCCATCAGAAGCGGTTCATTGAACGGAAATACAGACAAGAGTTAAAAGAAATGAGGTGGGAAAGAGAGCATCAAGAGAAAGAGCCAGATGAGACCGAAGACATAAAGAAATAAAGGAAGGCATGGACGGAAGTGGTGGTGTATTTACTTGCCTAATAACTGTGACTGTTGCCCATTGAGACCTAGCCTAGTTTTTGTGGAGACACTGAATGAAGGCTGCCCATTGAAATAAAACACAAAGTCACATCATTCTCGTTTTACTGATCTCGTATTTGGTTTTTAGCTGGATGGGGTTTATTACAAAATATTTGATTTCTATTTAATGTAAAGCTTCACTTGGGTAAATGTGTGTATTCCCTTTTATTTTGCTTTTTAAACAATAAAATTAAAAATGTGTATTCTGTGTGGAATAGATCCTATTCCTTCTATCTTTCTGAGATTGTGACTCCAGATTTTCAGTGGATAAGCAAAAAAATCACTTTACCAGATATTTGGGTTATGCTCTATAAATATCCATACTGTTTGACATCTGGATTAATCTCCATTTTCAGCTTTTATCTTGGTGTTTATCAGGTTCTCAGCTGCAAACATTATGCTTACACTCACTAAACAGTGAGTCCTTTGTAGAAGGAATCCCTTTAATGTTTAACTGGCTAATGGAAGAAGGAAAGACTGATATTTGAGTCACATATGTTCCTTCAGTCACTAGAATCAGGAGAAATCATGATCCCAAGCCAGATGACACTTTAAACCAGGTGCTCTTACCCTGGGGTCAGTGGACTCTTTTAGAAATTTATAGGCAGACTTGAGGAATGTCTCAGAATATCTTGAAATTATGTTGGATTTGGGGTTGGGGGAGAGGGCAGAAGGAAGAGGAGGGTTCATAGCTTTCAGCAGCTTCAAGCAGCTCCATTATTAGGTCCCTGTAATAAAGGGCTAACATTGAATTAAAAGATGTGACACCTTTTTAATGTTAATTTAAACTGAACCTCACTGGCTTCTTATTAATAAAGACAAAACTTCTTTTTTAAAAACAAATGTGTTTTTGTTCATTACTCTAATGGATATCTAGTGAGTGTCTGCTATGTGTCAGGCATTGTTCTAGGCTCTGGGGCTATAGCAGTGAAAAAAATAAAATTCCCTGCCCTTGGGGGAGCAGCATGCTAAGTGAAGGAAGACACACAATGACGGGAAATAAAATGTGTTACGTCACAAGGTGATGTGGATGATGGCCAGAACAAAGTAGGGGTGACACGGTGTGGTTTTCAATCAGGTGGTTGGGGAGGCCCCCCTGAAGGGCGTCGTATGAACTAAGATGGGAAGGAGAGTGACCCATTAGCTACCTGGAGGGCTTCTTTTTACACTTGATCTTAGCTAAAAGGCTGAGAAGGGATGGAGGGTTTCTTTTTTATGTAACTATTAAATGTTACATATTCGTTGTTGAAAATTGGGAGAATGTGTTATGTGTTTCTTTTACTAGCAGGAGAAAGAAACGAAGGTTACTTTGGAAATATTATGGAGAAAGTAGAAATCATAAGCTGAAAAAGTAAGTCATGTATGAATCTGTCACCCAGAGATTTTTATATTGTCAGGTCTTCTATGTATACACACATGTATGCGCATGTGCTGAAGTGCACCTTCACAATAGAATACCCTGTATGTGATTTCCATAACCTTCCTTTTTTATTAACTAATAAATCATCTCTCATTGTTGAATCCACATTTGTATTCATGGCTGCATATTAATGTGGATATTGTATGCCAGGCTATACATTTATTGGCTAATCTATTGAAAAAATGTGTAGGTTGTGGGTAATTTTTTTACTGTCAAACTACTGTCACATACATACATAAACACATTCACACATGTGTGTGCACACACGCATCAGAGAGAGGAGTGAGAGAGAAGGCCTCTCTAGAATTTGTTAACTTGTTAATCATAAAAATGTAAGATGGTGCCTGTAAGAAAAGGTTGTCCTGGGGCTCCTCTCTGCTGAAGGAGGACTAGGAGGGAAAGAATGCTGAATTCATCGGTAGCCTTGAAAATGTTAGAGCAAAAAAGCAAGGGAAAATATTTGAACTTTTTTAAACAAGCACTTTGACTAGTCTTGCATGGGCATCAAAGTAATGCCAAAGCCAGCGTGCTGCTCAGGACTTTTCATTGTACCTGCACTTTTCCTCTCTGTAGTTTTCTGACCTTTTTCAGGTTTTCTCTCCATATTGATGGCTCTTGAAGCCTGAAGAAGTTAAGTCCATAACACAGTAGAAAACCTTGCAGTGGAACACATCAAACACGCATCAGGGCAGGTTAGCTTCGGGGGCTCTCCTGAGCAGTAATGAGGCTGGTGGCCAAACTCTCAGTAGCCACACAGACCAACTCAGCAGGCCACTGTGACCACAGGTTCCGTGCTGCCTTTGATCCAATCCAATCCAGTCTTCTCACCTTCCAGTTGTGATCATGAGAAGCAACAGCGAGAATGCACATCATGCATTAATTCAATTGTGCTGTGTTATTATTTATGGAGGCTGATTATTAAACTTCCTTCTCTAAGTCATTTAGGTTCTAGTCATACAATGATGGTGTGATGGTGCAGCTACCTACAAAGGGCCTCTTGTACTGGAGAAGGGCGAGAGTAGGCCAGGCAGGAAAGGCATCTCAGAGGAGTTAATACTTGAGGAGTTAACTAAACCATGAAGGTGAGAGGGAGCTTGTGAGGAACAGAAGGACATTTCCTTCCAAGGAAGCAACAGGACTGGGTGGGAAGAAAGTGTGTTTGGATCCTATTGTATTCTACAAGAGATGTGGTGAAGGCCTGCATTGAGGCATTGAGAATGGAGATGCTGGGATAGAACTGATGTGAAAGATAACTGGGAGCTAGGACCTACAGGCCATGGAGTAGGGCATGGCATCTCAGCCTCAGTGCCAGAGACATTCTGGGCTAGATGGGGATTGTCCTCTGCATTTTAGCATGTTTAACCATATCCCTAGCCTTTCCTTGCTAGATGTCAGTAGCATTTCTTCCCCTACTTCTGACATCCAAAAATGTCTGCAGACATAACCAAGTGTCCCCTGGGGAAAAAAATCAGCCCTGGTTGAGGACCAGATAGGAGAAATGAAGCAAAGAACACCGGCTAAATTTTGTACTGTCAATATCCAAATTAAAGCAGAATTGGGTCTTGAGTTGAGTTGGCTTTACTGAACTTTAGAGCCTGTGGGATGTCTCTTTGAAGCTGATGAATAAACAGGTGCGTACATGGTTTTATAGCCAAACACAGATAACTGAGCTCAAGATTAGAAATGGACTCACACAAACATCAGTGGTATTATCTACAAAGGACAACCTTGTTTTTCCCAGGATGGAGACAGGAAACCATTCCAGGGATGTATTATGGCTTTGAAACTATAGGCTTCATACATGAGATAAGTTTACTCCAGAGAGGAAACTCGGCTGCCATCTGAACTATTTCAGCTTTAGATGAGCTGTCTTAAACCAAGTGACTATTTCAGAATTATTTCTGTCATCATCCTTGTTTGTGAAGTCTTTGTGAAATTTCCCTCCGATCAACTTGTACAAAGTAAAGAGAACTTTTTATGAATTGCTTGTTCTGAACAGGGAGTAACAACACACTAAAGTCTTGCAGGTATGTTCTCCATAGCTATGAGTGTTAGTCGCTCAGTCACGTCTGACTCTTTGCAACCCACCAGGTTCCTCTGTCCATGAGATTCTCCAGGTAAGAATACTGGGTAGGTTGCCACGTCCTCCTCCAGGGGATCTTCCCGACCCGGGGATCAAACCTGCATCTTTTAAGTCTCTTGAATTGGCAGGCAGATTCTTTACCACTAGCACCACCTGGGAATCCCATTCCCTCTAGCTTTTGGTCCCCAAAACTTCCCTAGAGCCTCATTATTTTATAAAGGATAAAATAAAGCATAACGAGGCATTATAATTTCTTTTGTATAAATATCAGGACAGTTAAGAGAACAACCTGTGGAAGAGACACTTAACTGACCACAAAACATGTTTATTCTTGTAAAATTGTCAGGAAGAGCATGCCCAACTGGGGACCACGTTCCACCTTTGTTGAAGTGAGGCCAAGTGACAGATTCCCACTGGCTAAATGTGAAGAACTTCCGGACTGTGGCACCAGAAATATGCTGGCCATCTCTCCATCCCCTTACTCTGGTTTGCTGGCTGGATGCTGACATCCAGGAAGGGTGACCTTGAAAACCACCCTCAGAACATGAGTGGCACCAGGGAACAGAGTCCCCACCTCACTCCCACCTCCCTTCCAAGGATAGGAGAATCCTGCTTGGACTTCTCTAAAGTGAGAAACAAACATCTATGTCTTAAACCACTAATGTTATAGCCACTCATGGTATCTTCACTAACACAAATGTGTCTGAGTCAGGCCATGAACAACTCTTAGTAGTTTCCGGCCCAAACAATTTTTTTAAAAAGTTCACCCACCTGTTCAGTCAGTCAGTCACTTCAGTCGCTCAGTTGTGTCTGATTCTGCAACCCCATGGACTGCAGCATGCCAGGCTTCCCTGTCCATCACCAGTTTCAGAGCTTGCTCAAACTCACGTCCATTGAGTTGGTGATGCCACCCAACCATCTCGTCCTCTCTTGTCTCCTCCTCCTCCTGCCTTCAATCTTGCTCAGCATCAGGGTCTTTTTCAAATGAGTCAGTTCTCCAGGTGGCCAAAATATTGGAGTTTCAGCTTCAGCATCAGTCGTTCAATGAATATTCAGGACTGATTTCCTTTAGGATGGACTGGTTGGATCTCCTTGCAGTCCAAGGGACTCTCAAGAGTCTTCTCCAACACTACAGTTCAAAAGCATCAATTCTTCAGCACTCAGTTTTCTTTATAATCCAACTCACATCCAAACATGACTACTGGAAAAACCATAGCTTTGACTAGATGGACCTTTGTTGGCAAAGTGATGTCTCTGCTTTTTAATATGCTGTCTAGGTTGATCATACCTTTTCTTCCAGGAAGCAAGCGTCTTTTTTTTTTTTTAATAGGAGACTAATTACTTTACAATATTGTAGTGGTTTTTGCCATACATTGACATGAATCAGCCATGGGTTTATGTGTGTTTCCCATCCTGAACCCCCCTCCCACCTCTCAGCAAGCGTCTTTGCATTTCATGGCTGCAGTCACAATCTGCAGTGATTTTGGACCCCAGGAAAATAAAATCTTTCACTGTTTCCACTGTTTCCCCATCTATTTGCCTTCAAGTGATGGGACCNTTGACCTGCATACAGATTTCTCAGGAGGCAGGTAAGGTGATCTGATAATCCCATCTCTTTAAGAATTTTCCACAGTTTGCTGTGATCCACACAGTCAAAAGCCTTAGCATAGTCAATAAAGCAGAAGTAGATGTTTTTCT